CACCTCGGGGCTTTGCAGGTCATTCCGAAGTGCAAGCGCGGACTGAAGAAGGACTTTGGGTTTGGTGCAATTACAATTAGAAAAAAAAAAAAGATCCAAGCAACAAATAGAGATCACCCAAGAAAAATTTACATTGCCCAATAATTTATATAATTTTAGATATAATATGAGCCTGAGCAAGAAAGCTATTTCCCTTATTCGTTCAATATGACCGATGATGAGAGAGGAAAGACAAAAGGAATTTTTAATGAATTAGGGGTATTTTGGTGATTTTATAATGAAGGGATTGCCTTTTGTTTTTCTTTGTAAGGGTGGGGCTCACAAGGTAAGGGTAGAAAAACAAAATTAAAAAAAGCCTACCTAGCGTGACCGTTTGCGTCTAATAATCAATAAACAGTACTGTTAACTTACGTTGGACGGAGGGACGACACTGGCATGTTTTCGGATAGTAAAGGTACGACAGGTGAAGTTAATTGATAGTAAAGGGACGACATGAAGCGAACTGATAGTAAAAGATTTAATTGCACTATTTTTGATAGTAGAGGGATGATAGATGGCATTAACCCAAAGTTGTGAGATAGGTACTCTTTTCCTCTGAATACCATTCTCCCTACGTTCGGTAGGATTCCATTTCAACCGTCCACGCACTCTAACTTTCTCTTGTAAGGATGCCAATGGCACTGCAATCTACACCATGAATGATGATGATCTTCGGAAATATCTTGCTTTAATAATGGTCTTACGACTTTAAAGAAGAGACCATTAATATTTGGCAAATCTCCCTTTTAAGCCCCTGGACTTATTTCAAATTAATACCTGAGCCCTTGAACTTATAAATAATGTAAATAAATCCTCAAATCCCTTAAATGATGTAAATTAACTCTTGATCCCCTTGAACGATACAAATCAACCCTCATCATTAAAAGCCCAATGCATGTGACCTCACGCTATTTGTTCTTTTCTTTCGTTTGGTCTTTCATTTCTATGTGAATCAAAAGACTTTTTTAGTAGTTAAAATCTTACCGAAATAATCTATGTTGTTTAAGAATACTAAATAAAAAAAGGGAGTTATAAGGGCCATTTTGGTGGGATTTTTACCATCTAAAAGTTTCTTTGATTCACGTCAACCCATGTGAAAATGTGAAAGCAAGCAAAGAAATGAACAAATGATATGAGATCGCACGTATTGAGCCATTTGAATCTTTCAAGAGGTTTGAGGGCTTATTTTCATCATTTTTAGTTTAAAAGCTTACGTATTAGTTGGGGTAAGTCTAGGGGCTTAAGAGGGCATTTGCCTTTATATTTCTTCTAAATGAAGTGTTGCAGTGAATGTTGACACTTAGCTACTCGAACCTTTAATTTTAGAATATATTTAGTTTGAAAAAAATAAAAATCAAATGTTAAATTTAGAACGTGTTTGGTTTTAGAGAAGAATAATAACAAATGAGATTAAAGTTTGAAATTAATAATGTAGTATAAGTCACGTTATTTAAATTATTAAAAAATAAATTTTATATTATTTAATAATTTATTTTTTT